TTATTATTACTGTGTGTGTGCATGTGCGTGTGTGTCTGTGTCTGTGTGTTCAGGATAGTAAGATTTTCAGTTAGAAGTATTGATTGATAGTTGGATAAATGACATATAGATATAAATAAACATATTTAGATAGAGTGATAGTTAAGGAGATGATGTAGATAAATTAGCTCTCCAGCAAATAGAAATATTGATAGTACAAGCCTTGAGATATAGATTGATAAATAGAATGGTAGATAGATGGATAAAGACAGCATTTGGTGTCTTAGAAAGAGGAACATTTAGAATGGTAGAAAGACTGATAAATGGATATGTAAACACAGACTGATGAATTACTTGATGTGATCAATGTTTATCTTTTTTATTGTTTTTACAGAAGGACGTCTGCACGCTATTTACACAGCTTTCAGACATTTTCAACAGCAAGGTACAGAAACAAGTAAAGAAGAAAATGATGAGGTCCAGTCCCATTTTAAGCCAAAGATCTTTGCTTCTAATGACTGTTCTACTGTTATTGTTGTTTTGGGAGCAGTGCAGGTAATTCATGCTTCGTGAAACATTACTTTTGTATGATGAATTCATTATTTAGAAATGAAGGCATACCTGTACAGGAATAAGTTACATGAATATGGGAAATGACTAATAATTATTTTTGTTACTAGTTATATATGTTCATTTGCTTTTAAGGTTTACATCTGGGAAAAAGAGGGAATGTCTAAGACAAGAGAGAAAGATGTCCTCCTGTGTGGGAATTGGTCTGTTGTTGCCTGCCCCAGCAGTACCCCAATGCCCAGTTTGCAGTCACATGAAACACAGATTTCGGTTTGCTTTTCGTCTGAGGAGGTGAATATGTATATTTTTTTGTTTATAGTCATCCTTTCTTTTTTAATGAATATCCTGACTTTGCTGTTGAAAAATCCTGGAAACTTACTTTTCAGTAAATATGCAATAATATACAACCTCTTCAGACTGCTGCTTGGATTAATCAAAGCAGTGGCCAAATATGTGTGTGTGTGAGTATGTGTATGTGCGTGCGTGGGTGCGTGTGTGCATGTGTGTTTGTGCGTGTGTGTGTAAATATATATATATATATATATATATATATATATATATATATATATATATACTTTTCAGCCTTTCAGAAAATCATGTCATGTCACATTCAGCTTCCTCGATGGAGCCACCTTCCTTGCCACAACCCTCACCCTGCAGTGGGGAAGAGCCTCAACACCAAGCACCCCAGCCAAAGTTAGTGTCGCCCTTTGGAACACCTTCTCAGTGGCTCTCAGGAAAATGGGAATGGAGGAGGAGATTTTTCAAAGAGAGGGGCTATTAGTTTCCAGGTGAGCAAAGAGAGGAGCAAATGTGAAAGTAGGTGGTGTCAGCATTATGAGAAGGCAAAGTTCCATCCTGTTTCATGCAGATGATGTTTCACCTGATTTGTTTATAATGATTACATTGATGATATATAGCCAGTCTACCCTTTCTTTCTGTGGAATGTTTAAGTTGAAGAAGGCAAAATGCTGTGATTTTTCTTTCATGGAATAATTAGTGGGTGTGAGTTCACATGTTAGCAGGTAAATAATGTACTTGATTTTTACTAAAATCTAAGATACCCTCTTATTTTCTCTCTGTTGAACCAAAAATATATTATAGATAGTGAAAGAAGCCAGAAGTTAAAACTATTAGTTTATAAATGTCCATGAAAAGTAAACTGATATTGATTTATGCACATAATTATCTGAGAAGTACATGTGAACAGAAAGACAATCAGGGACAAGAGAAAAGGGGTAAGTGAAACAGCCACAATAGTGAAGCAAACTGAACTATTTTATTTGCTTTTTCCCTTATTATCATGGCTGGGTTTCATTTCAGAATTATATTATCATAATCATCAATAAATGGGACTATCATTACCTATTTTTGTTTCAGATATGCACACAACCAGAGCTTAATGTGCACAGCTGTTAATTCATCACAATTTCCAATTTCAAAGCTGGTGTATCTCCATCCTCTTTGTAATACATCATTGGTGGTTCCTGTAGGAAAAGTCAAGGGACATTTAAATTCTGCAACAAGGTTAGTGTTAGTGTACACTGCTTCTCAGAAGGAGTATATATTACACACATACTCACAAATCTACACACACAAATCTACACACACACACACACACACACACACACACACACACACACACACACACACACACACACACACACACACACACATACACACACACACACACAAATACACACACACACACAAATACACACACATACATAAATTCACACACAAATACACACACACATACATAAATTCACACACACACATACACACAGATTTACACACACACATACACACACAAATTTACATACACACATACATACACAAATACACAGACACACACATACATACACAAATACACAGACACATACACAAATACACAGACACATACACAAATACACAGACACAAATGCACACACATACACACACAAACACACAC